GTAGCATTATACTTTAACCAAATGGACACATCTTAGGCATGCAGGATTTTAAACCCGAAGGGACATAACTTTATGAATCTAGAACCTCAGAAACACCAAAAGTGGCAACTCATAGCTCCTGCAGTGGTATCAAACTACTAGATCTCATTCTTGAGGCCAACAAGGAACCAAAACTCATATATAATAGATCTAAGCCATCAATGAAAAAGTTCATAGATTTTTACCTCAAACAAGCTTTAAATGAAGAACATAATCAAGATCCAAATGCACTTCCTTGATCCACAACTTTGTACCAAAATCGTTCTTCTTGAATATGAGCCAAGACACACCAAGATGAACACAAAGAGCTCAAAAACACCACCGTAGAAGCTAAGGGACGATTTCAAGGGTTTTGGGGACTTTGAGGCTGGTAAAGAGGCCATCCCTATAGACTTAAAGTGCTTATATAGGGTACAACATCATAAATTAGGGTTTTCATATACACTTCGTACGCCCCGCATACTCCTCGTACACCCAGCGTACGAGGCCTTCCACTCCTAATCCTTCCTTCGCATTCCACTAAGGGTACGCCATATTGTGCCTCACATTCTACTTTTCGTACCAGTACACCCCATATACTCCCTAGGCACGCCTCGTGCACTAGGGTTTCCTCTTAAACCCTAAAGCACTTCAACGGTCGTAACTTCTTCATTATAAATCCGATTCCGACGATCCTTATATCCATGAAAAGCTAACAAGATGCTATGCGCTTTTATTAACTCATACATGCCTTACAATATCCTGAACAACCATCTAATTTCCATAAAATCCCGAGCTGACATATTACCAAAATGACCTTAGGCTCCAAAACACAAAACGAATACCCAAATCATCTAAATTACATCGTCTACCCCCAAATGATTTCAAATCTCAATTCTTCAAAGGACTTATGTCTGGTAATACCCAATCCTTGATCTCCATCCTAAAATGGAAAACGATTCAAAACAGGACGTCACACATCTGTATTATTATTATTATTATTATTATTATTATTATTATTATTATTATTATTATTATTATTATTCCAAATTCAATGTTTCTGTTAATAAAATAATTGGACCAACTTCTTGAGTAATTATAAAGATCTATACAAACACTATACAAAATCCAAAATTAAACAAAAATAAAAATTAAACATAAGTATTTGACAAATCTATCTAATTATTCCAATCAAAATTGCTTTGTATTGGGTGACATTGCTTTAACTACATATATTTCTTTTTTCAAAATACAATCCTCTAATACGAAGAGGTTGAATTATGACTCTATAATAAAGAAATCAATAGAAGTACATCATTATTTCTTAGCAATGATAATAAGGTGAAAGTATGATGCCATAATAAAGAAATCAATAAAAAATTATCTAATAGGAAGCGAAGTTCTTCAAGTCCCTAGTTGACATCACAACTCTTGGTATGTTTTTTCTTTCCTACCCCTACACACTCCTCTTCTTACATAATCATTCTCCATGCTTCATCTATGTCTATTAGAACTTTGAAAAAACTTAAACTCAGCCTGGTCGTTGTAGCTCAAGGAAAGATATATACAAGCAGCATAGAAAAAGACAAATATCTTAACAAATTAAGTACCTAATTCGAATTTACAATTGAAAAAGAAACATACCTCAAAATTTTATGCAAGCAAAGACACAAAAGCTTTCTTTGGTTCATGGACCTTTTCTGGAATCAAATTAATTGAACTGAAAAGAGAGATATCAAGCACCAATTCCCACTTTCCTAATTCCTATTTTTCTCAATATTCAATCTCATAAATTTGCAATTATTTCAAAAGTGATCCACAATCCTTATTTCTGCGATCTCAACCAAAATTCTCATACATAACCGAAATTGAACACCTCTCAAGTAGGAGAAAATGCCTACGGGAATAAAACAGTAAATGATAAAACTAGTTTGTTATCTATGGGATTCTAGACAATATGTGATTTTGTCAACATATTACGTTGGAAACAGAAGGAGAAAAAACCTCACCAATAGCTGTTGTCAACGACTTTGAAGTAGCCAGAGAGCGGCACTCTCGACGGCGTTGGCAGCGGCGGTGTAGTGGGAGGAGGTGGTTGTCCACTGGTGGAGAATGGGCCCACAGAGTATTTCAAATCAGAGATGAAAAAGAGCATCGATGACTAGGAAAAGGGCTAGGGGAGAAAGTCCTGCTGCCGCCGACAAAGGGCTAGAGAAGTGGATAGTCGACGAAGTGCAAGGGGCAAGCAGAGGCGGTGGTCGGCTGATGTCGGAGGGCATAGTATATCTCGTATGAGCGGATATGCTATCGGAAGGATGGTTCAGAGTTTGTAAAAAAGAGAAGAGGGACAGGAGTGGATTACCAGGGCAAAAGAGGAAGGCACATTCATTTTTTTTAATTTTTTCAATTTAGACCATCTCAAGATCTGAAATATTAAGAGGCATGTTACAAATTAAGAGTCATAAATTCAGATGTTACCAAACAGGATCTTAAAAATTAAGTGATTGCCTTCTAAGTTTCCAATTAAGAGACTACCAAACAAGGCCTTAGTCATTTTTGTGTAAGATAGTGGTGGTGGTAGGCGATGTTTATGGAGAGAAACTATCCATATAGATAGTTTTCTTAAATAAGGGTACAAAGGTGGATTAAAGAATCAGATAGAGCTTGGATCGATCGGAGATGAGTTTAGAGCTTTTTTTAGCGATGGTTCTCTTGAAGAATGGCATAGAGCTATAGTCAAGTAATAGGGTACAGAGGCAGTAAAGCAGGTGGAAGACACGTAGTTTGTGTCACTACAAAGTCATTAGCTACAATGGAGGAATGACGCCTATCTTGCAAATTGACCAACAGTTGACCCAGGGCTCCAAATCAACCAACCAAACGAAAGGTAGTTTGACTTGGATCAAAACTTGTAACTGTGTATAAGCCAGCATGCGATTTATTGTATGATAAATAACTACATATTTATCCTAACGAGGTACACATGTGTTTATCAGTTCATATATATATATATATATATATATATATATATATATATATATATATATATATATATATATATATATATATATATATATATATATATCCTAACGAGGTAGACATGTGTTTATCAGTTCATATATATATATATGTTTGTGTGTGAACATATAAAAACATTTGTCTCCTTATCCTTGTCATAAATATAAATATGTAGTTACTTGTTATAAAAAGAATAAGGTAATTAATTTTTAAAGAATAATGGGGGAATATATAAACGATATATAAATTAATTCGAGGGTGTTTGACAAAAATGGTTATTACTTATAAACTTATAGCTTATAATTAAGTTTTTGTTTATAACTAATAAGTTAGAAGGATTAACTTATAAAAAAATAACCTATTAGCAGTTAATCATCGTTATAAGCTATTTTTTATCCGAACTATTTTTATGCTTGGAACGGTGTGGTGCCACTAATAAAGTAATAAGTTGTTTTGCCACACATTTAACGACTGTTTGGCAAAAAAAAACTTATTACTTAGGCCACAATGTGTGCAGCGAGAAAGGAGAGATGAAAAGTTTCCCCCACCCTGCAACACAATATCATGGGTGACAGAAAAGAAGTGAGGGGAAATAGTGAGGTGAGTCACTCTTTCTCCTTGTGTGATTGATCGGTATAATTTTTTTTAGTTTTTTTTAATATTTATTAAATTATATAACTACTAAAGAAATTATAAAAAATATATTAAAATTTATGTTTTCTAATTCTTTACAAAAATGAGTATAACATTTGTATGATATATATATATATATATATATATATATATATATATATATATATATATATATATATATATATATATATATATATATATATATATATATATATATATATACGAGTAAATTACACGAATGGTCCCTATGGTTTAGGGTAATTTGCGCATTTGGTCCCTAATTTATATTTTTAACTCGGAAGGTCCCTATTGTTTGTTTTTGTTACGCACTTGGTCCCTGTCATAAATAAAAAGACTATTTTACCCTTGATTTTTTAATCTATTTAAATAAACAGACCCCCAACCCCACCTCTCTCACCTTACCTTACCCGTCCTATCATTTTTTCCTATTTAAATAATAGTCGTTTTGGGTAAAATAGGGACCAAACGTTTAACAAAAACAAACAGTAGGGACCAAACGCGTAACAAAAACAAACAGTAGAAACCTTCCGAGTTAAAAAAATAAGTTAGGGACCAAACGTGTAAATTACCCAAAACCATAGGGACCATTCGTGTAATTTAATATATATATATATATATATATATATATATATATATATATATATATATATATATATATATATATATATATATATATATATATATATATATATATATATATTAAAGGTGAAAGATTCATTCTATACACATCCTGTGTTTTGATGAGAGAAAGAAAAATAAAGATAAGACTTACATGGCAAGCAAAAAGTGAGATGTCCTTTCGGCACACATCTTCGGGTCTTATTAATGTATTTGCTTGTATTTTAATAAGTTACGAAGAATTTACATAGAAAAAAATGATTTAATAGGTTCCATTTTTATAAGCTATTCTTATTTAAATATTTTTTTTAGCTTATAATGGTATGCCATTAATAAATTTATAACATGTTTTGCCAAACACTTTGGGTGGTTTATTTTTTAGATACAAAAACCATAAAATCGTATACAACAAATTTGATGATATGAACGCCATTTATAGGTATAATCACACCAAAAAAAGGCTTTCTTTATACATACACCATTCCATTACAACAACGTAACTGGACATTTTAAAAACATAATTCGAGATAATATAGAAATACGTGAAAGCCATATATTCAAACAGTAAAAATCACACTTTCATGATGAAAAACGCAGAATCCGAACGATCAAAACACACACATATATATATTACACAGAAAAGATGGAACCAGGGAACCAGCCATATATGCTAGACCACGACCAGAAGGAGTTTATTGAGCATCCCTTACTTCAAATTCATTAGGATTCTTGACCATGATATCATTGATGTGCATTGACTTGAACTTCTTGAAGTCCTTTGGGAGAGATATGAGGTGAATTGTCGTTGTTTTATGAAACTGAATATAATTAGGATCATCATACCACCTTTCCCATCCTATAGATGTTAGGATTCCTTCAAGAATCTCGTATGAAGTGACCACTTGGTTCGTGGATGGGTGCACCAGCACCTTGCCATGAGTTGGACCTTGCAAGGGGTCAGCACCTGGGTTGTCCTTGTCCAATAGCTTAACCACACCACTCTTGAACACCCAAACACCCGACATCGTTTGTTTCCGATGTTATGGAAGTGAAAATATGGATATCGAAGATAGTGAGATTTGGAACAAGGTTGGAGGTCTATATATAGGGGACGATGGGTGGGTTGGTGATGAGGATATAGAGGTATATTATTATAAATATAATGGCAAATGGTTTCCAATGAGGTGTCGCTTAAACGTAATAAAATTTTCTAATATGCACATATGCGCTTCTTGTTTGCATGCATCGGAGTAGAAACCAATCAAACTTGTACACCCATGTTTTACGTTGACCGAAAATTTTGGCCAAAAATTGCTACTTTCTCACGATTACTCATGTGTAGTGGCGGAGTTAGAAATTTTGATACGGATGTACAAACATTGTCAAGATATATTTTATGTAGTTATCGTGAATCAGACATTAAAAAATATATTAGAATCTCTTTAGTTGGGGGTATAATAATATATACAATGTTTACACATATTTTTTTATATATATAAAATATATTTTTTTGGGGTGGTGTAGTATCCCTTGCCGATATAAGTGAATAGATTAGGATTAGATTAGAATATTTGAAATTATCAGGTCTTTTTGTTTCAGGTATAAATCAACTGGAGCCTAGCCCTATGAAACCCCACAAAAAGCCGAATAAGTTTCTATTGTTGCAACATGGTTAAGTTTCCCTGTGTTTCTAAATGTTGATCACCAACTGTGCGATTATTGTACTATGTTAGTTTAGTTACTTTCTATAATATGATTCTGTGTTTTGTTGATGACAAATGCTCATATCTTGAAGATGGTCATACTATGGCATCCATGTTCAAAGCATCAAAATAAGGGGTCCATCTTCAAAGGATCACAATAAGGGCGTGTTCAGATGAAGTGATAATCGTTTTTGTGTTCATACAAAGCGATTATTATCATGATTATTTGTTTATTTGTTTATTTCATCACCATTTCTAATTTATTATTTTACATTTGGTTGAATGTTTTTATCAGATTATGTTTGAATTGAATTTCTTTTTTTGTTTTGTCACACCCCCAAAACCAGGAACGGTGGAAACGTTCTGAGGCGGAGGACATCATGTATAGTATCACAACAATGAATAGTAGTAAACAAGCAACAACATCATCCATTGCATTAATAATATAATTTTAATACAAGTGTTCTGACGTGTTTAATAGACACTAAAGTAAAAATCAAAATGAAAGATGAGTCTTGAACGAGCTCCATGTTCTCTAAACCTTGCATCGGTATCTGTCGACTTTTGACATGAGGATACAAGTTATTTTGAAAGAGAGTATCAGCTTTAAAGCTGGTGAGATCATAAGTATTTTAGTGTTTGAATTTGTAAGAAAGTATTTGTAAGTATATGAAGTGTAAGTATGTAAAAGTTTTGAACCTCCTAGAAACACCTATGTTTGCTACTAAAAGTAGCCTTCTACCAAGGTATCACACCCCACTAAAGCGGAAACACAAGATATGACAGCGATAACAGTTTCATTGCAAAAGATAAAAATGCATCACCATAGCAGTATTTAAAAGTTTACAACCCATAGCTTAAAAAGAAACAAAGTACAAGTTTTCCAAAACAACATTGTTCAAAATATAACTTCATAATAGCTTCAACACGATGCAGCATGCTCTATGATGATGAATCCTTATATCCACTTACTAATTATTTCCTAAAAAAACATGTAAAACGAGCGTCAACTATGAAAATAGTTGGTGAGTTCACAAGTTTATAAATCTAGCTTGAAATAAGGCTTTTCGTAAATACAAGTACATTGTTTTAATGAGAAACCAAGTTTATTGCTATAACGAGAAATGATTTTGTATGTGTATGAGCAAACAATGAGTCTCAACCAAACCTATTACTGAAGCCCTATCGAGATCTATGTTTATCGTTCCATAAATGAATATGGTATCATACACTCCAGCAATAGGGCGAGTGAGGAGTTGTCAATTCCTAATAGCGCTATCCATAATGACCATTGGCTCAAAGAGTTAATGGTTAGAGATAAGGGAAAGGCCTTAGTACGATAAGTTCTCATGTTCCGTGTTGCATAGGCATACATAGAGAGACATAGCAATACAATAACAATCATATTTGATACAATCAATTTAAATACAACATGCAAATAATAGTTTCTCTGGACATGCTTTTCCACCCAAAACATAAATACAGTAAAAATAGGGGAGTGCGTGAATACTCACAATATGCAAAATATAGTAATCAAGTTTATACGAGTCAATTAAATATAACAAACATAAATAGTTTAGGACATGTTTTTCCACCCCAAAACATAAAAATCGAAAATAAGGGAGTACGTGAATACTCACAATATGCAAAATATAGTAATCAAGTTTATACGAGTCAATTAAATATAACGAACATAAATAGTTTAGGACATGCTTTTCCACCCCAGAATATAAAAACCGAAAATAGGGGAGTACGTGAATACTCACAATGTTTCGTGTAGGTACAAGTGGTGCCTCGGAATGCACCAACGTCTTACTACCGGGATCCTACGACATCAAACACACACTAGTGAGTTTCCATGTCGAAATCTAATGTTAATATACTAAACTCTACATATAGCGAAATGCCAATTTATGTTCTAGTATTGGATTTGATATTAATTGGTTACACTTTTTCTGAAATGGTGAAATTCTACAAGTTGTGTGATTAATTACAACTTTGGAATATTAATTTTTCAGATTTAGTAATATAAATTAAAGGTATTTCTACACATTTAATGGTGTTTTATATTCCTAAAAATGTAAAATATTATCAAACAGTTTCCAAAAATTGTCAAACCTTGTATTTCCATTGTAAATACAATAGAGGTTTTCCAGAAAATTTTCCTTGAATTATTGATATGGTTAACTATTTTTCAACTTTTTAAGTCTTCTTAACAACATAAATTCACGAAAAATAGCATTCAAAGGATAAAAATTCTCAAACTTTTTATTTTAATGTTATTACACAATACTAAGCTGGGAAAAATATAAAAATGGATTTCCAAACTGTATAATTATATTTTATGATTTTTGAGCATTTATTCAAATAAAAATTGAAATAAATTGAAAATAGTTTCCAAAATTACCCAAACTTTTTATTTAATGGTTATTATACATAACTAGGCTGGGAAAAATATAAAAGATATGTTTTAGTGGGTATTTCTATTTTTTCTTGTTTTATTCCTTTAAATAATCATTAATTGAAGAATAAAATATTAAACAGTTAAAATAAATTACAATAAAATTTTTGTAACATCATTTACAGTATAAGTAATCTGGGAAAAATACCAAACGTGGTTTTGATATTGTATAATCCGGTTTTGGGTATTTATGTGTATTTAAGTGTATTTTAGTGTATTTAACCTTAGAAAATTAGAGAAAAATAGTGTACAGTAGATAAAAATCATCAAAACTTTTATGTAACCTCCTAATGTACAACATAATGTTCTGGTAAATTTTCATGAATTTTGGATAATCATAACTATTTTTTCTATTTTTAGGCCATTATAATTACCAAAAATCGGGAAAAATAGTAAGACATGATGAAAAATTCTGAAATTATTTTTCTGAGTCACCCACCATAGGTAAGGGCTGCAAAAATTGGTAGATAAAATGTTCACACTCTCTAAAGTGGTTTTGTGATTTATTATACCCAAACAAAAAGAAAATCGGCAATCATACCAAACAACAATAAAAATGGATGAAATTTAATGAGGGGTCATTATTCACCATAGGGGTCATCCAACAATTTACTCCGGATTTATAGAGCTCTGGAAATATTTTATGTGATTTATGCCCTTGTTTTCTTGCAACAATTTTAATAAATTAAAGAAATTATAAAAACTCTTGATATTTTCCAGATGTTCATATTACCTTAGTGGAAATCTGGAAAAATTTTGGTTTGAACAGAAAAGAACTTTTAGATATTTTTATAGACAAAATCGTTTACATGGACTATTAACAATGTACTTTGATCATCAAGCTCATTAGCTTGGTGTTCATCACATGCCTCACGGTTTGAGGACCATGCATGGACATATGTTTGTCATAGTGATGTTTTTAAAAGAAATACTTGAAAGCATAAGGTGTTTGAACCTTCAAAACATGTAAAAATCCGAACTTTAGTGTTTGACATAGGTTTTGGTCCTTGGATTTCACCATTAAACAACATGCATGTTGTTCTTAGGTGAAACCCTACCACCATCATCATCAAACTCGACATTCATGAACATGTTCATGAATGTTCATAAAGAATGGTGTAGAAGGAAGAGAAATAAAAGAAAAACTTTTTTTAAAAAAAAAAGAAAGGTAAGGAAAAGTGAAAGATGTTCGTGTCTACCTTGAAGATTAGTCTTGGAGGATGAAGATTTGAGTGTGGAGACGTGTTCTTGGCTGGTATTTTCTTGAGTTAGAGAGAGAGATAAAGAGAGTTTGAGTGTTAGAAAGGTGGAGTGTGACAGAGAGTGAAGAGAGAAGTGGAAGAGTGGGGATTAGGTCTTGATGATTGAGTTTTGGGAAGAGAGAGCATGTGGGAGGGGAGAGTGGCCGGATTTTTTTAGTGCATTAAAGCCTCATGTCTCCTAAATTCAAACTTTATAAAACTCCCTCATTAATTTTTATAAAAACCTAATTTTTATAAAAGGGTTTATTAAAGCAATTCTTGATTTATTTAAAAATCTTGTTTTTAACTAATAAATTATGCTTAATGTTTGATAAATCAAATTTTTATTTCATTGATTATAATCCATAATTTGATTAATAAAAATTTGATATTAGGAAGTTTATAGCCAAATTTTATAAAGTTTTTAAGCTTTAAGGTTTATAAATTTGGATTTTTGGCTCTTTAGGGTTTTTGGAACATTGTTTGATATTCACCATCATATTGAAATGTAAATTAGAATTTTTTTAATTTATTTTTAGGGTTTCATACCCTTTTTCAATTGTAGCAAAGTTTGAAGTTTCATTCTAGTTATGGTATTGGCATTTCCTATTGTAGTTAAG